ATATGTGATTCTGAGGAAAGATAATATCCGCATGCATGGATTTGACTGAGAAGATATCCGAAGAGATAAACATCATGTTACTGTGTTAAGTCGATTGACATCAACCTATTTACTAAGTGAAGCTGCATAATCCACTAATCCTTGTCAATGCCCTACGAAACTGAATGTTTAACGGGCCCGCCACAAGAACAGAAATGGTTGAAGCCCCTTTCCGTGGCACAATATGATAAAGGCTCGGGTGAAAAATTTAAAAATAAAACAAAGACTCGGGTATTGAAGCACTATAGGAGTATATTCAAGCCAGGTGTCTCCTAAAAACTTGTAGTTCGATCATCGTCGACCGAGAAAAATCCTCTATTAAAGAACGTGCACTTGACCTTCATCAAGCCTTTTCAAAATAGGTGTTTTGCCAACACTTGAGACAACATCTTGGAATGAAGATGTTTGTTTCAGAGTAACTCCTGCCAAACACCTTCCTCTGTTAGCAACTTGTACAACCATTTACTGAGTAATCACTTGTTCTTAATTTTGAGGGTCTCAATCCCCAAACCCCTTAATCATTTGGCCTACACAAAATGTCACACTTGGCTATCTGTTACTTCCCTTTATGCTCGTCACATTGCCAAAAGAATATGGACATGTAGTAATCCAACCTTTTGAAACACCCTTTTTGGTATTTTGAAGGATGATACCATAAGTATAGATACACTTGTGAGAAGTGCATTGATAAGGACCGAACTTCCACCATGGGACATTAGCATGCCCTCTAACTGATAGGTTTTTTTGGCTGCCTTTGATGATCTTACACTCTTTATTGGTAAGTTCACGACGATGAATGGCATCCCAAGATAACTAGATGAAAGTGGGTCCAACTCACAACTAAATAGTTGCTTATATCAACTCTCTACTTCTTTGGCGCGTACAAAGCAAAAGATATCTTAAAAATGGCGATGTCATTTGCGTATTAAAGAATTAACACACCACCATCCGCAAAATGTAGAATTAGGCCATCAGTCTGTCCATCCTCCTTAACCCTTACAACGAGGTCTGTGAGCATATCTGAATGACGTTGAAGAGAATTAGCGACATACGACCCCCCTGTTGCAACCCCTTTCTAGTTTAAAATAATGACCGATGTCACTATTAAGTGTGACCCCAACACTGCCACCTTAGGCAAACCTCTCCACCGGCTGATGCGAACATAGCCAATCCCTTCACGTTAGGAGCTTGCTGCAAGAAAGGTCATTTCACACTATCACAAGCTTTATCAAAGTCCACTTTGTTGATAACTCCGTCAAGTTTCTTAGAGTGAAGCTCACGAATAGTTTTATGTACTACCTCCGTCCTGGCTTATTGGTCCTCTTTGTATTTATTGTTAAATTTTTACCATGGATTTAACTAACAAAATATCAATGCATGTCACAAAAAATTATACCATCATAACTATGTTTGCATTAACATTTATTACCATCATAAACTATGTTCAAATATAAATCAAACAATATAATTTTTGGTGACATGCATTAATATTTTATTAGTTAAATTTATGGTCAAAATTTGACACAAAATACGAAGGGGACCAATAAATCAGGACGGAGGTAGTAAGAGCACCACTTCCCCTGGAACGTGTCGTCTTGGCATGAAAGCCGTTCGTGTCTAAATTACAATTCTGGTATAGGTGCTAACTACCAGTGTTGTAATTTGTTGTGCTACATTGGCAGAGGAGTTCTAGCAAGCTCTCCACCCCCGCCCCGCGCCGTGATGTCTCCTACACAACCTTCTTCTTGTAGACGTTGTTGGTGTTGGAAATATGCCCTAGAGGCAATAATAAAATGGTTATTATTATATTTCCTTGTTCATGATAATTGTCTATTGTTCATGCTATAATTGTGTTATCCAGAAATCGTAATACATGTGTGAATATATAGACCACAACATGTCCCTAGTGAGCCTCTAGTTAACTAGCTCGTTGATCAACAGATAGTCATGGTTTCCTGACTATGGACATTAGATGTCATTGATAACGGGATCACATCATTAGAAGAATGATGTGATGGACAAGACCCAATCTTAAGCATAGCACAAGATCGTGTAGTTCGTCTGCTAGAGCTTTTCTAATGTCAAGTATCTTTTCCTTAGACCATGAGATTGTGCAACTCCCGGATACTATAGGAATACTTTGGGTGTGCCAAACGTCACAACGTAACTGGGTGACTATAAAGATGCACTACGGGTATCTCCGAAAGTGTCTGTTGGGTTGGCACGAATCGAGACTGGGATTTGTCACTCCGCATGACGGAGAGGTATCTCTGGGCCCACTTGGTAAAACATCATCGTAATGAGCTCAATGTGACTAAGGGTTGGTCATGGGATGATGTGTTACGGAACGAGTAAAGTGACTTGCCGGTAACGAGATTGAACGAGGTATTGGAATACCGACGATCGAATCTCGGGCAAGTAACGTACCTATTGACAAAGGGAATTGAATACATGATTGATTGAATCCTCGACATCGTGGTTCATCCGATGAGATCATCGTGGAATATGTGGGAGCCAACATGGGTATCCAGATCCCATTGTTGGCTATTGGCTGGAGAGTCGTCTCGGTCATGTCTGCATGGTTCCCGAACCCGTAGGGTCTACACACTTAATGTTCGGTGACGCTAGGGTTGTAGAGATATTAGTATGCAGTAACCCGAAAGTTGTTCGGAGTCCCGGATGAGATCTTGGATGTCACGAGGAGTTCCGGAATGGTCTGGAGGTAAAGATTTGTATATAGGAAGTCCAGTTTCGGCCACCGGGAAGGTTTCGGGGGTCACCGGTATTGTACCGGGACCACCAGAAGGGTCCCAGGGGTCCACCGGGTGGGGCCACCTATCCCGGAGGGCCCCATGGGCTGAAGTGGGAAGGGAACCAGCCTCTGGTGGGCTGGTGCGCCCCCCATGGGCCTCCTCCTGCGCCTAGGGTTAGAAACCCTAGGGGTGGGGGGCGCCTCCACCTGGCTAGGGGGCCAAGCCACCCCCTTGGCCGCCGCCCCCCCATCTAGATGGGATCTAGAGGGGTCGACGCCCCCTGGCCCCTATATATAGTGGAGGGGAGGGAGGGCAGCCGCACCCAAGTCCCTGGCGCCTCCCTCTTCCCCCCGTGACACCTCTCCCTCTCGTTGGTGCTTGGCGAAGCCTTGCCGAGATCCCGCTACTTCCACCACCACGCCATCGTGCTGCTGGATCTCCATCAACCTCTCCTCTCCCCTCACTGGATCAAGAAGGAGGAGACGTCTGTCCCAACCGTACGTGTGTTCAACGTGGAGGTGCTGTCCGTTCGGCGCTCGGTCATCAGTGATTTGGATCACGACGAGTACGACTCCATCAACCTTGTTCTCTTGAACGCTTCCGCTCGCGATCTACAAGGGTATGTAGATGCACTCCCCTCTCCCTCGTTGCTAGATGACTCCATAGATTGATCTTGGTGATGCGTAGAAAATTTTAAAGTTCTGCTACGTTCCCCAACAGTGGCATCATGAGCTAGGTCTATGAGTAGTTTCTATGCACGAGTAGAACACAAG